CAATCTGTCTGGTGGCTGTTTTGTATTCACAGTTCTGTGATGAACAGAAAAAAAAAGACTCAAGACTTATGTCTCATCTGCATCAACTAATTCAACCAATCACCTGTTTGCAACAGCAAATCTGACCAATCAGATTTATGAATTTCTCAACAACAACAACATTCCAAAGAGCAAAGTTAATAAAGTTTTTATAAATATTTTGTTTGAAATAACTGTCTTTTTATAGAAAAACTGTTATTTGTGTATAAACATTATTTGTGTGTGTGTGTGTGTGTGTCTAGAGGCCAAAATGTAAAATAGGTGCATTTTGTCTTGAGATTGTGTGTGTGTGTTTTTTTTTTTCTGACAATAACATTTACTGTCTCCCCAATGGTGAATTTATTTTAGTCTTAGTTTATATATATATATATATATATATAAAAGGAACATCATATATGATCACCATTGGGGAGACAGTAAATGTTATTGTCAGAAAAAAAAAAACACACACACACAATCTCAAGACAAAATGCACCTATTTTACATTTTGGCCTCTAGTTGTAGTTATATAAAAGTGTATGATTTTAGAAAAAAAAAATTAAAAATAAATGAGTAAAATTAAATACAAATAAACATGAAGTTCCAACCCTAAATCTAACCCAAGTAGGGCAAGTACAATGTACAAAAATGTATGAATTAGACTGTTCAAATTCAAATGAATTTGCCAACAATTCACCAAATCACAAAACAGGAACACATTTCAATGTGTGCGTTGGTTTTAACACAACATTTACTTCTACTGGACAAACAAAAATTGAACAAATGAACAAAATTGGGAGGAGCTGATGAGGGTTGGTATAAAAATAATTTTAAACAAGAAAATTAAATTAATGTACAAAATCGAATCTCATGTCCATGTTTTCCAATAGTGATACAACCCACCCCACCTGTTACAGTTTAGTACGTCAGCACTTTGTTCTTGACACTGATTTACATAGTTGTAGATTTCTTTACATTTGTTTTTAGCAAATAATTATTATTTGGGGAAATTATATCAACATTTGAGATAAATAGTGCAATATATATTGCCAAATTAGTAGTCTGGTGCACTTCAACCTGCAAAACATTGTCCCATGCAAATTTAGTTATAATTAATAATTTTTGGCCCGTATTTGCATTGTTACCTGATTTGCATGATTCCTTTAGTTAAGAGGTCTTCAGCAGGGGGTCGACTGTGGTACTGTAGGGGGTCTGCCAGTTATTGTTTGATCTCAAAATAAAAAAAATATGCAGTAAATAAAGATACACAATATTTAACCCACATAAATATGATACTATACGCATGTTTTTATAGGCCAAGCTTTCAGCACTTTTACAATATACAAAAGGACTATAAATGATCAAAGACCCCAGTTTCACTTAATCAAGTGCTAAAACAAAGCAGATGGCATGCACAAATAAATGATGCCATCAGCGGGCGTGATTTTATCTTTGTTTTTGTGCATTGGGTACAAAACTAATGGCGGCACAACCGTTTACAGTTTGTACACTGCAGAAGGTGGTAGACTGTCACACTGTGTCTGTCCTTCTCTCGGCTCCCTGAACAGAGCAGCGACATCCCAGCTCATCCGTGGAAAATGCCGTTATGCCCCACGGGGAAGGGCTTGTGATCGGCTGCCTGTCTGCATGATCCCCACTTGAGCCCTGATTCTATCTCCGCATTGAGCCATTTGCCAGATCTGCATGCTTAGATGCACATGACTCCAAGGTTTCTGCTTTCCTTGGAATTAATGCAGCTTATCACTGTGCCATAAGTGTGTTGTCGGTGACATATAAAGCTTCCCGCTCCTGAATGATAATTAGACGTTCTGCACGGTACACTACTCGTGGTGAGGCAAAATGCGGGAAGAGGGTTTGTTGTGTGCACTGTCACCTACTGTAACATGTGTGTGTGTGTGTGTGTGTGTGTGTGTGTGTGTTCATACATGTTTGGGTGTGTGCGAAGGCAGGAGAAGGTGAGAGAGCAAGCGAGCATGTCTTGCTTGCACTCTCTTACATGGACCGTGAGTCTGGCAGAGGCCAGCAGGGGTTTGTGTGTTGCCATGGTAATGTGAGGCAGGCTTGAAAGAGCAGTGCGGTTTGCCCAACAGCACATGTCTTAAATGGACCAAAGGAACACATGTGAACCTCTTTTCCTCTCTCTCCCTCTTTCTCTTTTCAGTATTCATCATCTTTATTTGCATAACGTTCAGCTTGTAGCAATCATAATTTCTTTGCCAGGTTATAATGTAATATATTAAAACCTCTGGCTAATGTGGATGAAATAATATACTGTGCTATTTTTCCTGTTCTTCATTTAATTTGATTTATATTTTTTCATATTTCAAGTCATGACCGTAGCAATTGTCATATTTCGGAAAAAAAAATGGTAATAACAAAAATGCGTGTTCTGTGCTAGTACATTTTGAGATATGCCAGGAAAATTAAATAGGGCTCTGTAATTCATAAATAATTATTTTTAATAAAGTGTAAAGACATTTACACTGTAAAAAAAATTCTAAAGTAATATAACCTATGTGCTTCATGTGGTAAATATCTAAATTAACTGGTCTTATTAAAGTAAAAATAATATTTAATAAAACTAATATGAGTACATTCCCTGCTGAAAACACATGTTTAAACCAGCCTAAAATGGTTTGCTGGTCTTAGCCGTTTTTTAAACTGGTCTCCCAGCCTGACCAATGTTGTTATTGTGATTACAAATAAAACTATTAAAAATTGTTTTTATTCATTGAAATAAAGTTTAAATAAAATAAAACATAAATATCAGATGAAAAACAAAAAATATAAATGTTGTATTGGAAACTAAAATAAATAACATAAGCTGAAGCTGAAGTAGTACAATTACTAAAACTAATATATATATATATATATATATATATATATATATATATATGCATACATACATACATACACACACACACACACACACACACAAACTGAAAATTTGAAAACATAAAAATTAAAGCTAATTTAACATATTAATAAATAAATAATATATGTGTATATAAAGTAACACTGAGCCCAACCTGGTTTCATAGCCTAAAAGTTCCCAAGCAAAAAGTTCCCAAAACCCCTCTAAAACCAACCTACAGACCAGCCTGGGAGTCCTGCAAAAACCAAATCGGCTTAGGCTGGCTTAAGATATATTTCTTAGCAGGGTTTGGTTATACAAAGGATCAAATGTAGTAAAAGTAGCTCAATTTTTTGGGTGAATTATTCCTCAAAAATAGTGGTTCTCAACCACTATAGAGGCCCCCCTCCTCTCTGAATAAATACTGCAAGGCCCCCCAACCTTTTCTAATCACAAAAATCTGTGTATTCTATTGTTATTACTTTTCAATTCCATGTAATTATTTGTAAACAAAATAAAGTTTTTAAAACAAAATTCCAGCTAGATTTAAACATCCAGTGTTCTTTTATGCAAATATACTTTGCAAAAATGTCACGGCAGATATTCTTTACAACTTAAAAGTACTTAAAAGTATGTAAAGCTAAGTTATACAGGAGCCTAACTTTAACAAATAAGCACAAGTCAACCTGCCATGCCAAACAAGACCACAGGGAGATGCCAAAGACTGCATATAAACTACTATACAGATCCATTCAGAATCACTAAACACACCAAAATATAAATGAAAAATAGAAACATTCTGATGAAATTAAAAAATGAAGAAAGAAAAAAAAACATTCTGAATGTGTGGATCTGAAGGCAGGTCGATGTCACCAGTGATGATCTTGTCTGTGTTTGGAGCGTCTGATGCCCATATGCTCATAAACACCACTGATCCTCACAAACTTCTCCAAAACACGCTTCTTCAGCAAGCATCCGTTATAAAACACTCGCTGTACATTAATTTTAACAACATGAATATAATGAACTGTTCAAGCAGAAATATTATGTTATAGCACAGACTATAGAAGGGACTTTGGTTACAGTGATCAGTGCGCCGAGAGCACACATACACAGTTCGTTTGCGCATTAATGTGCAACTCCTGTATATATTGTAATCGTCTTAACCTTGATTACAATCGTCATCCATCAAAACTTTACTAGCACGACACTGGTTTGCTTCATCCAGTCGAGAGCTGTAGTTTGCATATCATATGCTCATGCAGCGGTCGGGTGTTTTGACCCGCCGTTCAGTCTGTATTTCACACTGCACAATGAGAAACGGCTTGAGCTGCTCCGAAACACAGAATATCACAAAATAGGCCTAAGTAGCCTACAAGAGAGGTGGTGCTGTTATTTATTTATTTTTATATCAATCATAAAATTAGTGAATTGAATATACTTTAATTTTAAGTTATCTCGCGCCACCCCCATCCCCCTGTGGGATCACTGAGCCCCCCAAGTGGGGTTGGGTGGGGTGGAGCCCCCTCCCTCGAGTTTAGAACCACTCCTCTAAGACAACAACAGCACAATCCTTGACAGTAGTTTTGATTCTTCTATAAATATTAAGAAGGCATTTTTCTTGTATTAATCACATTATTTTTCCATTGCGTAATGAATTACATCAACAAACGAACTAAACACACTCATACAGTTGAGGCAGGCTAATATCTGGAGGAGAGCACTCTACCCTTTGGAAAATAAGTGAAAAAAGAAAGAGCAATTCTCACTCAAGCTTCTATTTATCACAGGTCAGTGTTTGACTTTCTAAATTTGCTGAGACATTGAGCCGCCGCAAACGTGGGCCGATACATTTACAAATCCTTGCTCGCTCAGAGATCTTTATTTAGAGAAATCAACAAGGAGCAACAATGCTGAAACGCAGAAGAATGAATGTGACCTTTTCCAAACGGAATCAAGCCTGACATGCATTAAATTAATATCACAAATCAGTTTGAGTGATTTGCTTATTTTGTACACAATCATTTTAGTTGGCAGAATCTGCTCCGCCATGTATCCAGGCAACCGAGTCGTGTGTTTGTGACCCCTTTGGGAATAACAGTGAAAGGAAAGATGTACATTTAAATTAGGTTAAAACGACATTTTATTTCTGCTCTACATTTCTTTTTATCACCAGTCTATTAGCTCCTGTCAGGTCTGTCATTCACTCAATCTGCTTTCCTTTTTATTAAGCCTCTTTGCCTGTCACACTGTACTTAGCGCAAACAAAGCGACGGAAGGAGGAATCCTCAAAAGTGGAGCATCGCCGTGACTGGGTTGGCGTGCAGCCCCGAGGCCCTGAGCGCGGACACCGGTTTTTATTTTTTTAACGCACGTCCTTGAGACGTTTTCACAACCGGGCCTTAAGTGCAGCCGCATCGATGTGAACAGGTGAATGCACTCGTGCTGTCAAGCGTCCAGGTAAGTGGCCCACTTTCCCGCTTAGAATGGTGATGTCATGACCTGGTACTGAAAAACACCTGGGGGAACAAGCTTCAGAGTGTGAATGAGATCTGTCAGTCGGAAAAACACAATGACACATTGGCACGAGCTGACGTTTAGCCGCCACTGCTGGCCTGTTGTGAAGCACTGTCAAAAAGATGTCTTTTAAATAAACAAAAGCTTGAAAACACTTTGCCTGCAACTCGTCTCTGGTAATCCACTACAGTTAAGTTGTGTGGGCCTGACAGTTTCTGGCTAAGACTGAAAATTTTGCCACAAACAGGACTTGAAACATTTATTTCTGATGCCTTTTTCACACACACACACACACACACACACACACACACACACATAAGAATTATTGTGTGTATACAGTACATTACCTTGGAAATAAATGACAAAGTAAGTTTCAGCTGACATCCTAAAATTATTAAAACTGAATAAAAAAATTAAACTTAAAAGAAATTAAAAATGACCTAAACAAAAATTAAAACTCGAAATTTAAAATAAAAGCTAATTCAAAATATTTTGTTAAAAATAACACTTTTATTTAGCAAGGATGCATTACATTAATCAAAAGTGACAGTTAAAACATGTTAAAACAACATTAAAATATGTTACAACATATTTCTATTTTAAATAAATGCTGTTCTTTTGAACTTCAATGAATCCTAAAGAAAAAATTCAAGAAATTCACAATCATAACCTTCACCAGATCCTGATTTACATTACAGCTAGCTGTTCTGCAGACTATTTTTGATGTGTTGACACTAAATTATCCAAGTGGAACACACTGGTGGTGTTGAGTCCTCATTACACATAAAAAGGTCCATAAAAGTGCTCCCCAACTCAGTTCGCTCACTTGAAAACACCACCAACTGCTCATAAATCAATGCTCTTTCATGAGAAAAAAGGTTATTGCAGACATGCAGAAATAACACTTCTAATGACATAGCATTACTTCAGATTAAAGTTTGAAGTGTTTTTGACAGCTCTGAAATTATTTATGAAATGAGATTCATGAAAACGCTCTCTATATATATTCTCTAGGCTCTCTCTATAGGTTCTGTATTCTCTTTCCTGTCAAATAATGAAATTACACTTAATTTTTCTATACATCTAAAAAAAAAAAAACATTTAATTGAGCTATTTGTTAAGTTCCTTCTCAAGTACTAATTCAGAATACTATATCAGACTACAAGCATTTAGCGGAGCCTGATGCCAGTAACACCTGTCGAGGCTAAGCAAGTGTGGGCAAAGATAACCTGAGAAATCTTTCTTGACTTTCTGTCATCATTAAAATTCCCAGGGCACTTCTTGCAGGAAAGCTAGGGTGATAACCTGGCACCTTGAACAAATTTCCCACTGTGGCCTATTGCTTATAGCCTCCTCCATCAAAGAGAAAATTCTCCCCTGCCCTTCGATGATAAGTGGTGAGTGCCCATGGCCAGCCTGAGTACTTCTGCAAGCTTTACAGTGTAATTACATATGGAAGTGCCTTAAAATAATGAACAACATGCACTTTTATGTAATTATGTTGTGGAACAGTCTGTGATTGTTGTTGTTGTTGTTGTTAATTATATTAATTAAAAGTAATTCATTAGCAACATGGGATCCATAATGTAAAGCATTGTAGAGTGATTTAGTATCTACTAATACTACAGCTCCTGCATTTTATGGATTTTTACTAAGAAATCGCCAGACTGACACACTAATTCCTCACGGATCCTGATTATACAAGTGACATTGATGAGTTTTCAAAACGCTGTTAAAATTGACAGCTTTTAGAGAAAAGTTTCATAATGCCACTTCAGACTTGAGGGATCTGCAAAAGGCCATTTTCCCAAAATGAATGCATTCAAACAAGACATCAAATGTTCTCCCCAGTGAGGAAATTACTACAAGGTTTTATAGTGTTTTATAAGCTCCAGCAATTTTGAACATTGTTTTAGGCGGAACGGCATTGTCTACGGTTTATGAATCTCTACTTTTAGAGAGATTTTAAGCTTCAGCAATTATGAAACTTGGTAAAAAGTCTAAAATTAAAACTCCAAAAGTACAATCATGCTTTACAGCGGGTCCAAAACTCAGATCAATTGAAATCTCCTTCCCTTTAAAACTGTTTAGTGGTCACAAATATGTTATTTGCTGAGTGCAAAATAGCATCTAAATTTAAAAAAGCTGTTATTTGCATCACAATACTATCAAATGATGTTTCCCCAACATCATTTTAAGGTGGCTCATTCAATTTCAAGACCTTGTTTTGGGTGGAAAATGCTTATTGTTAAAATGCCATGTTTTATTTACATTTAAATGATGTGTTATTACAAACTATCGCAGAGAATTAAATTCATGGTTTTCTAGTTGCGGCACAAACTTACTTTTTGCTGTGAGCAATTATGACAGCTTTGCTTTTTACCTGTGCTCCAAATATTCTCTCTATAAACAATAATCTCTGTTTAAATGTCAAAATGCTTCCATATTTGGTTCTCGCTGCTCCAAGTCTCTCTTGACCCTCAACCCCAGCCAAGTCTTAATGGCCTTTTCTCCAACCGTCAGCAGACGGAATATTTACAGTATACCTACTCTTCTTCTGTTTCTTCAGAAGAGCATGACCACAGTTCACTGTAAGGTCGGTCCACCTCTTATTCCGCTCCGTGAACATCCCTCTCATGCCGCAGGGCTGCAGGGTGTCTGAGGAGGCGTTATGAAGGGAGGTCAGCACATCTGGCCGTGCTCTGCATAGGTTGAAACTGCTGCAGTAAGGTGAGGATGAGGTGAGGATTTTTTCAAAGTACAATGCTATTATTTAAGATTTTGGAATAGAAAACTTTCTATTATTAAAGATTAGAAAGATATTCTGAAGAATATTCAACATTGGATCCCATTGACGTCCATTGTATGGACATAAAACCCAAACACCTTTTGTGTGTGTGTGTGTGTGTGTGTGTGTGTGTGTGTGTGTGTGTTGCACAGACACATTTTTAAGTCATATTGTTGAAATAAGATTTATACTTAAAACAATATATTTTTTTCCAAGTTATTTCTTGAAATAAGACATTTATTTGGTAAGCAGCACTGCATAAGATATTAAGACTTATTTTCAGATAATGTATTTTTAATACAAGTGTACTTTATCTTTCTGGGCTGGCAGATTTTTATTTTTTAAGTATAAACAAGTTAAAAAACAACAAGTGAAAAATATTTGCAGTAAGACTGGATACAACAGACTGACAGACACACACACACACACACACACACACACACACGCAAAACAAGTATTTATAACCTATGCATTGTTGCTTCTCCACTAAATGTGTATTGTTTCAAGGATTTTTAGATATTTTTACCAGAAAACAAGTAAAATAATAAGAAACTCATCAAATAAGAAAAAAACTTATTATAAAGCCATTTTTGCACAATGATATCTACATGCAGCAACATAGGTGGGGTGTAAAAGAATGAAGGGGAAGAACAAAATTAGCATTATGTTGCTAACCAGATTCAATCTCACATTTCCCACATAAGCATCATAAGTTTTGTGTTTTGCTCTACAGCATTCAAAGCCAATGCTGGTTAATTAAGATTTGACAGATGAACTCGCACCTCCATTAGACTGGTCTATTAATTAACGTTGTGTCAGTTGTGATAATACTTTAGAGTGTTATGGACGTCACTATGTTTGGCATTTCTGTCACTATATAGTTACAGGTGATATTCACAGTTAACCTCAGAATAGAAATGCTGCTTGACTTTGGTAATTTGTTCATACAGATGGATATGAACTCTTTTCACATTTCCAGGGTTCTCAGAGTAGAAGTTGTCATAGTCGGGTAAACTTCTATAAAACTTCCAAAAAATAGAATATAAAGAGATTACATTGAAAATAAAAATGTTATAAACTTTGCTTTATACTCTTAAAAATAAAGTTTCTAAAAGGTTTCTATTATTTTATTTTTTTATTTTTTTTTGCAGTGATGCTATAGGAGAACTGTTTTGGGTTCCCCAAATAACCTTTCAGGGATCAGTTATTAAAATGATATATTTTTTCTTAGTATGAAGAACATTTTAATAATCTAAAGAAACTTGTTCCACTATAAAGAACATTCTGTGTATTTGAAAGGTCCTGGAGATGAAATCATAGATGCCAAAGAACCTTCATTTTTTTATGTACGATGTTATTAACTGTGGAAACATGTCATCACAGTCTGTGAAAAGGGTTCATAGTATGAACAGAACGATTTGAGAGTCACTTCAGGTTTGAATCTGAACACTGACTGTGTAAATGCAGAACACGCACTAATTGCTAAGCCACAAGTCAAGACAGTCCAGCATATCTGAAGCAATTTTAACACGAATACATTGTGTGCTCAGAGTTCAGATGAAATTTTGTGTTCAGGATACCCTTTCTCTTAAGGTGCTGCTCATGACGAGGTGAAGGTAATGCCTTCAGCGGCAGATAATACCCTGACACTGCGCTCCCAACACTTTCTGTTACAACATCAAAGAGGTACAGATCAAGTAAACACAGAGCACATTACATCAAAGCAGAAGACTTCATGTTCATACTCCCTGACTCCCTCTTCCTCTCTCTTTTCAAACACCTGCATTTACTCTGCAAATAGGGCCAGTCGTGGTT